CCACACTATCAAATTTTCTTTGACAAAAACTGTTGTATGCCCATATATAGTCATGATGTGCTCATATATGGTCATGATGTGATGTCATCATAACCATATATAGGCATGTCACATATATTTGTCAATTAAAATTTGATAGTCTGGAAAGCGCTTAACATAATACAGTTTATTTAATGGTATGCTGATACATCATCTAAACATATTTCATATAAATTTAAGGGTTTTTTTTAAAAGAGAAAACTTATCTTAACAAAAGGAAATTCCCTCAATAGATACTGAGGTTAAGATCAAACTTACCACGATACCTGCATGCTTAACAGCATACGCTAACCCAAGCAGGCCAGTACCTATGTTTCCCTTTACAAGATGCATCAGTGTCTGGGCATTGCTAAAAAAGAAAATATGTAATTACTATGAAAAATATTTTTTAAAGCAGTTTTTCTATGCCGTAATGCATAAAGACAGCTAGACTTAAGTCTTGTGTATTCATTTTTCCTTTTATATAATAATAATACTACATTTCTCTATCATTTACCATTGTTTTAGAATTAAGCTTTTCATGTGTCTTCGTCAAACAGTAGTCTCACTTACTTGGTTCCACCCTCGTAAAATTATTTCTTGATTATTTCAGATCATGAAAAAGAACTTTGTACAAATATTTATTATCACCAAGAAAAATTACCTTGTAGCATGTGGGGCATTTTGTCTCAATTCGAAAGATGCTGAAAAACTTCGGATGCGTACATCATCTTCATTGCTACTGCTTTCTGACTCATGAGTGTTGATGCTGGATAATCGTCTAACCTGCCTCACGTTTAGGCGGTCATTGAACCTGCTATCATCTGTTGAACTGTTCACATCAGCCCTTTCTTTGATCAGTGGCTCTGTGTCCATTATCAACCTTTAATTGAGAAATGGGGTCATTCACTCTATAAAACCATTTTCAAGTTAGGGCACATAAAAAAATTTTTAAATATCACCTCCCACCTGTGTCAAAAATTTGGGAAATATTGATGCAGGAATAAAAAAAAAATAAAAGAGATTTTGCCGCAACATTTATTTCAATAGCTTAAAAAAACAATGCAATTTTGTAACTGGAATTACATTTTCTTTTAAAAAAAACAATATAATTAATCCAGTTTTTATACAATATTCTTGCCAAATAAAAACAGTCCCTCCCCTTAAAAAAAAAAAAGAAAAGCAATATTCTATTGATTCCGATTAAAAAACAAAACAAAACAAAGCAACAACAAAAAAACACCCACCCTCATTTTAAAGAGCGATAAATCTAACAATTAAATTTTTTCTATGCATAATAGTTGGTTAACACCAAAGTGATATTTTTATAAAAATAAATGATCTTAAAATGTTCTTTCCAAGTCTGGGCCTATACTAGGGCCCGGCCTAGGCCCTCGACTTGACCTATTTTATAAGCCTTAGTTCTAAAAAGGAGGTCTAGCCAAGGCCTAGTACAGCTGACTACCTAGACTCTAGGCCCTACTCCTCCTCCTCCTGAGATAGAATGGCCTACTACTAGGCCTAGGCCTAATTGATTCAAATTGGTGACACCATATAGGCCTACATTCTAATAATAATACTACTTTACCAACCAAGGGATTCCCAACCAGGTTCTGGTTTAGGAGTGTCTGCTGGAATCTGAAGAATTCGGTTATAGATCATACATGTAGCAGACACACGCAGTAGTAGGCCTTTACTTTCGATTTTCCATGTGATAATCCTACGGTACTTTCCACACCCCGGTCGTCGGTCCGCTGATATGTTTTGACAACCTGATCCGTGTCAATCAAAAATCCGATCGACAGCGGACAGAAGTATAGAGGGCGGCAGTCTTCTGGGATTGATTCCTGCACCATGCATGTTTTCTTTGTAAACATTTTGGAAAAGGGGTCAATATTATACTAATAAAATAGATATATTATACTACTACTGTAGGCCTATCTTGTCGAAACTTCAGACGCAAATGCTAAAACACACAAAATACAGATAAGTGTGGGTCAAGATAAATTATAAATTCATTGATTGTTCTTCTTCATTCTGTTCATCAATTTATGTGCATTATATTTTTTATTTCATTCAATGATTACCGCGGTCCATTCGACCATCCATTCATTTATATTATCATCA